CTTGCAATGAAGGTAGATCAGGTGTCCTGGCTTTACGAAGTCCAGTGCGCCGGGCTGGTCAATGTTGTTTGGAGCCATAACTCCTAGCGGCCGTCATTGGCGGTCGCGTTGTATTGGTGCTCGAGGGTGTCTGGGCAGTCGTGTTTGTGAAGATGCCGTAGTTGGGAGAGTCTTGTGAAAGTCATAGTTACTCTCTTTTTCGCGTATCCTAACATTTAACTCGGGTCGCGTTAAAAGTCGCGCCACGCAGTGACTCTTATTCGATGGACTAAGAGTCCATCGAATGAGATGTCTTAAGGTTGTTCTGTCTCAATTGTTGAATTTTATGTTTGTTTGTTACAGTATCGCCAACCCAATCCTGAGAGAAGGAGGAGGCCTGGGAGAGGCATCGGGCATCGGCGTCAAAAACCTTAGGGTAAATATAATTTTTTATTCATATAAAATAATGTGAAATGTTAATTATTTTAAGCACATCTTGCAAATAAATTTTATGTTTGTTTGTTACAGTATCGCCTACTTAATTCTGAGAGGAGGAGGAGGCCTGGGAGAAGCATCGGGCATCAGCGTCAAAAACCTTAGGGTAAATATAATTTTTTATTTACATAAAATAATGTGAAATGTTAATGATTTGAAGCACATCTTGCAAATGAATTTTATGTTTGTTTGTTACAGTATCGCCTACCCAATTCTGAGAGGAGGAGGAGGTCTGGGAGAGACATCGGGCATCGGCGGAGCAACCTTGGGGTAAATATAATTTTTTATCCATATAAAATAATAGTTTTTTTGCATTTACATCATTTAATTTTAGTAAAAATAGTTAAAAAGACTTAAATGTTTTATAAAATCTTATTCTTATATAATTTTTTATTAGAAAATAGATTACATTAAAGTAAATATTCATTAATAAAATGAATTAAAAATTCCGCGATAAGAATTATCTTTTGAAATTTAAGCACATCTTTCATTTGAATTTTATGTTTGTTTGTTACAGTATCGTCGTAGCTACGTGGCAGAATAACTCCGCCCGTTGCGCATCGGACCGGTGAGTCAAAAAATTTTTTTTATTGAGGTAACGAATCTACGATTAATTATGTTGAATGTAGAGAAAATGTCTCAGTACATGTCGAATAACAACAATAAATTATTTTACAAAGTAATTAAATCTCGTAGATTCGTTGCCTTAAAATGGATGGACTAAATTTGATTACGGCAAATAATTAATCTTGGTATTATCTATTTATCTATGTATATTGTGCGACTGTGCTTGAGGAAATACTCGCACAATTAGCACGCACAGAGCTCGCAAAGCAGAGCTCATCATATCGATGCACTGCGCATTTTGTAGAATTTACTTTTTAGTAATTTAGTAAAATTTAATATTTCAAGTTTTAATTCAATTTGTGAAAAAATATTTTATCAAAATATAA